TACTGCTACTGCTACTGCTACCTACGACTACTACCGTGGCATGTGCAACATTCATGCCATAGTTGTTGGAAGTTGCGACTGCGAAACTAGGCCCTTGAATCACAAGCTGGATAGCAGGGTTAAGATCACCAATTTTAGCAACCATCCTACGAGGCCGCCCTGCGCGATGATCGGCGAGAACAAGTTCGACTCCGGGAAGGCGAGGTGAGCTTGATCCAAGGCACGCTGCTTAAGGGCGCACTAATAAGTAGAATAGGGTTTTGGGGTATATGATACTATAATTCTAATAAGGTACCCCCCCAAATAGTATAGTTTCTGGTTTCGAGTTCAGGGTTGTTTTGCTCTGGGTTTAGGCTTTGGCGGCTTAGGAGTTCATCGGTGCCAGTACTTACAGGTCGGGCTATAAGCCCAGCAACCAAAGCTTAGTTCTGTGCAGTGGGGCGCGGATGTACGGCAGAAGGGACCTTCCACAAGCGCGACTCCGAGCATGACGCCATTTTTGGTGGGGCCCACCTGTTTTTCAAACCCCCATCCTTTTCGCCATTCTTGTTTGACCCCCCACCAGGCACCCAGCGACACTTTTTTCTGACCCCCAACCCTTTTTTCGACCCCCCGCCCCCCGTATCCCTTTTTGACCCCCGAAACTTTTTTTCACCCCACTACCCTTTCTTTCGACCCCTCCACCTGCTCAACTGACCCCTCCCTCTCGCTCCGTCCACAGACCAGCCCAAGCCCAGCCCCTGGCAGTGGCCCAGGGCAAGCCAGGGCTTGCGAATCCAATCCCTCCCTCTCTCTTTCTCTCTCTCGCTCTCTCTTTCTCTCTCACTCTCTGTCTTTCTCTCTCTTTCTCTTTCTCTCTCTCTCTTTTCTCTCTCCTGTCTCTCTCTCTCTCTCTGTCTCTCTCTTCTCTCTCTCTCTTCTCTCTCTCTCTTCTCTCTCTCTTCTCTCTCTTCTCTCTCTCTTCTCTCTCTCTTCTCTCTCTCTCCTCTCTCTCCTCTCTCTCTCTCTCT